GCTGCCCTCCGCCCGCTCCTGCCCGGCCCTGCCCGCCGTCTGCCCCGCGCGGCCCGGGAGCTCGGCCCGTTACTCCTCCGCAGCTTCCTCTTCGGGAGGAGGCCACGCCGCGCCAGCTAGCGGGGAGGAAATGCCGAAGTCTGAAGTCTGCGGCGAGCGCCCGGCGGGCGGGCGGGTCGGGCCCCTCCCGGGCCTGCGCCTCACAGCGACTCCGGCTCGGGGGACGGCGGGAGGGACTTCTCTCGGGCCACCCGTCCGAGGGCAGAACTGGGAGGCCCTGAGTGCGGGGCGGTGGTTCGTTCCTCCAAGGAGCCTCTCCTGAAGTTATGCTGGAAGTTGAAAAGGAGGAGAAAAGTGCTTCCAGCCGGACTGCCCAGCCCTCGCTCCACCCCAGCCCCACCCCCGGCAAGTCCTAGTGGCGGCGTGGCAGTCCCTGGACGGAAGTGGCCGCTGCCGTCTGCTGCTAGCCTTTTTTCCAAACGCGTATTGATTGAGCATTTACTGTGTGCCCGGTGGAGATGAGGTGCTGGGGAAATTAACAGTTGGCCAAATTGACTAGATTTCTCTCTGCCTGAAACCTAGAGCCTTATAAAGGGAGAGAATTTAAAAAGAAAAGAACTAGCCAGACAGTAATCCCAGTACTCTGGGAGGCTGAGGCAGGGCAATTCCAAGTTCCAGCCCAGTCTGGACCTAATGAGACCTTATCTCAAAATAGAAATTTAAGGCCGGGGATATAGCTCAGCGGCACAGTGCTTGCCTGGAAAGTTCAAGGTCCTGAGTTCAATTCCAGATACAAAAAAAAAAAAAAATTAAAAAGAGCTGGGGGATGTAGCTCATTGTGAAGGCCATGGGTTCAATCCTCAGTGCAGCAAAATAAAATTAAAAGATTTCATAACAAGAAAATTATCTGAAAGAAATGAAAACTGCAGGAGTGAGAAGGTGACTGTCCCTGAAGCAGAGGGTCACTGAAGGCTGGCCTTTACTCTGAGACAGCGAGGAGGAACCTGGGAATAATAGTAACAGTTTTCACAAAGAACTTGCTGTGTGCTGTACTCATGTTATGCTTATTCACTCGCTGCTCACTTCCATGCTAAGAAATGTTACTTCCCCATATATGAGAGGTGGAAACTGAGGCCCAGGCAGGTCCAGCTTCCTGCTCAAAGTCACACAGCCTTGGCTGAGCTGTTCCCTGAACCCAGGCATCCAGAGAAGCCAGGCAGGGGGCAGGATCCCTAGGGAAAGGGGCCAGAGGGTGCCCCTGCCCTGTCTGCTGGGGCCTATCTGAGTCCTTTGTGAGGAGCTACAATGAAAGCTCGTTCTAGGAAGCTATTTTGTTTCCTAACAGCAGGCACTCCCAGAAATAATCAGGATTTATTTGAACAATCATCTTTATTTATTCACACACAGTGCACCTTTCTTACTCCTGTTGCTATCTAAGGAGAGCAAGGGTATGGGTGTTAAAGAATATGAGAACTCAGCTGCCATCTGGAACCAGAACTCAGAGGGTAGCTGGAATTACTCACAGGAAACCCTGAGTCTGAGCTCCGTAATGGTCAGCAGGCCTACTTTGAGATCCCGTCTCCACTACTTTAGTCACTTCATCAGGATTCTTCAGGTTGCCAGCAACAGATACACAAGCAGAACCACACTATTGTGTTAACTAAGTCCAAAGGGCACATATTTCAGGTACAGCTGGATCTAGGTACTACAATGTTATAAGTACCTGTTTTACCTCCAATGCTTTGCTTTCTTCCAAGTGGGTTGTTCTCTGACAGGTCCTCTGTATATACCTTGGCTTCTCTAGTCTCAGATTTCTTTTAGTGCATACGCAAAACAGCCTTATTTTCCTGAAAGTTGCAGCAAATGCCATGCCTTGGGATAACCTTGAGTCATATATGGAAAGTCTGGCAAGAAAATACAAGTCAGGTATGATGATGCATGCTGTAATCCTTGCAGTCGGGAAGCTGAGACAGGAGGATCACCTCCAGTTCGAGACTAGCCTGAGTTACATAGTGAGTTGAAGGCCAACCTGAAATATATAGTGAGACCCTGTCTCAAACACACACAAAAGAGAGAGAGAGAGAAAGAGAAAGAGAGAGGAAATACACTGATTACTCTTACCTCAGTTGTACCTTGCTTCAGCTTCCTGTGTTGAAGTCCTAATCCCTCAGGACTATCTTTGGAGACAGGGATTTCTGGAATTAATTAAGGTTAATGTCACAAGGATGGGGTCCTAATGTGATAGGATTGGGGGTCTTATAAGAAGGACAGACAGACAGCTCTCTCTGCACATGCACTTACTAGGGAAAGGCATTTGAGGGCACAGTGAGAAAGTGGTCACCTAGCACTGGGAAGAGAGCCCCCACCAGACGCCAAGTCCTGCCAGGCCTTTGTCTTGGGCTTTCCAACCCCCAGAACCAGGAGGAGACGGCTTGCTGTTTCAGCCACTTGACCTGTGACAGACATGGAGTCAGCCTCAACTGTAGGGACGACTGTGCAGAGTGGCACCCCTGCCCCCTCCAACCCCAAGGAAAGCAATGGCCTGGGGGTAGAAGAAGAGGGGCAGGACACTTCGTTGTGTGAAAAGGACAGATGGCCACCTCCTCTAATTGAAGATCTTTTCTTTTTGCTTTTTTTGTTTTTTGGTTTTTTTTTTCCGGTACTGGGAATGAAACTCACGACCATTGTGCTTGCCAGGCAGGTGCTTTTGCCACTGAGCTAAATCCCCAGCCCCCTACCTCCTCTAATTAAGACTTAACCTTGTTTTGCTTCCGTCTCCCAGTCTGTGCTGGTCGGCTTTCCTCTTGCTGGGACGATACCTCTGATGCCCGTACTTTACAGGACAGGGCTTACTTTCGGCTCGCAGTTTCCATACATGTTTAGCTGACTCCATGGTAGAAATGTAGTAGAACAGTGTGGCTGGGGAGAGCCTCATGGCTTCCAGAAAGCAGTGAAAACAGGAAGAGCAGAGCAGAAGAGGCTGGGGACCACACATTGTCCCCAAAGTCATGTCCCCATGGCCCTCTTCCTCCGAGTAGGCCTCACCTCCTGATAGTGCATTCGGCTATGAATTCGGCTATGGAGTTAGGGCCTTCATGGTCCAATAATCTCTCCAGGAGTTTCTTAATCCAGTCATTTTGCCAATCGAGATTAACCAAACTAGCGTCTGGAAAATGAAGGCAATGCTAACAGGTGTGTAATTCTTTCTTTTGTTGATGTCTTAGCATGCTACTTCCTGCCGTACAAACTAGGGCAGTACTTTAGATCAGATGTTGCCAAACACTTTTTGTAAAGAGCCACAGAGAAAACACTGCAGGCTTGTGGACCATTTAAGCTCTATGAATGGATCACCCACCCTAACCAATGTGACTTCATTTTAACTTAGTTACCTCTACAAACCTTATTTCCAAACAAGGTCGCATGCACAGAATTCAGGAGTTGGAGCTTGAGCATTCTTTGTGGAGACACGATTCAACCCATTACAGTGGCTACAGACAACATGTACAAGAATGGATGGGCCAGGATACTGAAGTTTGAATTTCATACATTTTTCATGTGCCATGAAAGAGAGTTCTTCTGATTTTTTCCAACCATTTAAAAAATTTAAAAACCATTCTCATCTTGAGGGTCATGCAAACGCAGATGCTATATTTTGTTTACAGTCCGTAGTTTACCAACCCTGCCCTGGAGCATGGAGAAGTAATGCTATGGTTTAGATCAAGAATGATCCCCACTCGTTTAAAAAAAATTATCTCCTCCCGATCAAGAATATAAGCTCCACCCTCAGAGCTTGGGTTAGATCTTGGGGTTGTTTAGCTGAATGTGATATTAGGAAGCAGGGTCCAGTCAGAAAACCCCGTCACTGCGGGCCTGACCTGAAAAGGTCTATCTCCCTCCTCAGCTCCTCCCTTCTCTCTCTCCTCTTTCTGGGCACCATGATGTAAGCAGCTTTTCCCCAAGGCAGACCCTTCCACCGTCCTGTTTCTGAATGTGAGCCTGCCAACCATGAGCTGAAACTTCTGCAATGTGGGCCAAAACAAACCTCCCTCCTTTCAGAGTCCTGGATGTCAGATATTATGTCTTAGTGATGAGAAGATGACTGAGACAAGCAACAGGATAGAAGGAACATGGGTCCTCAGGACTATCAAACTGGAAGGTTGACTTGGACATAAATTTCTATTTTGAGAACCTTTTTTGGAGGTTCGAGCAGGGCAGCATGGCTACTCATATACACTTGACCAAGGAATGGTCCTTCTCCGTGGAGGAAGGTTCTCACCCCAGCATCAGGAGAGATGCATATGGAGTAGTAAAGGAAGAAGGGGACACCTAGCCAGCCAAATCCACCAACTCAACCCGGTGCTCCAAGGCGTGACAGACATTGCAGTCAGATCACCCTTGCAGCTATAAACTTCTATTTTGTCCAAGCTAAAATAGTAAGTAGAAAGACACAGAGTTATAATCTCAGCTACTCAAGAGGCTAAAGCAGGAGGATTGCAAGTTAAAGGCCAGCCTGAACAACTTAGCAGGACACTGTATTGAAGTAAAATAAAAAGGGCTGAGGGTATAGTTCAATGGCAGAGCACCTGCCCAGTATGTATGAGGCCTGGGTTCAATCTCCAGTGATGTAAAATACTGTAATGAAGAGGAGGAGGGAAAAAAGGGCGAGAAGGAGAATCAGGGTCCTGGGAAGACGAAATCAGTTAGTCTTAGCACTGCAT